ATCCTTTAGAAAAAACAACAAAGATGCTTAGTAATAGTTTGGGTTGTGATTGGGTTTTTAAAAAACACTTGTGGTTAAATTTCTCGTGTGAAATCTTTTATATTTTAATTGCTTTCCATGGAGACCCCCCAACATCCTTCTTAAAAGAACAGAACTGGGTGCGACTGTCTGAGTCTATAATCCCAACATTCAGGAGACTTGAGGCTGGAGGATTACTACAAGTTGGAGCCTGCCTAGGCTTCATAGCAAGATACTGTCTGTTTTTTTGTTGTTGTTGTTGTCGTTTTTTGTTTTTTGGTAGTGGGGGGGGGAAGAATGAACCAGTTTCTCACCTTTCAGTAGAGGTGTTTATAGCTAGGTAACTAGGTCACCGGAATGTGCTCACATATCCGATTGCATAGACACCGCTTAGAATAGAACCAGGCTTCTCACCGTGTCACCCAAGGTCATTTTAGCCCTGCTTTCCTAGACATTCATGGTTCTTTGCAGTCACATCTGACTCTTCCCCGGTGTAGGGTGTAGTTTATGCAAGGTCATTTTAGCCCTGCTTTCCTAGACATTCATGGTTCTTTACAGTCACGTCTGACTCTTCCCCAGTGTAGAGTGTAGTTTATGTCAGATCACAACAGATTTTCCAGTGTCTTCCTGTGCTCCTCCTCTGGTTTCCCATTGTCACCACCTCCGTGCTGGGGTTCATTACCCCTGGACCACAGCAGTCAAACTCATCTCCCTGAAGCTCCTCCCACTCATGGTCTTGCATGGTACTCACCACTCTCTGAAATCCCAATTCCCCAGCTCCCAGCTTCACCCTAACCCTAACCCTAACCCTGAAGAGCAGCAGTCAAAGTGGATGTTTTCCCTGTTCCTGTCTGTATTGCCAGCCTCTTGCTGGGAAGAACAGTTGCCCCTTTGCCTTTGCTCCAACCCAAGCCCAGACCCTTTCTGTTCTTCCTGTCTTCCCAGATAGCGCTGACTGACTGAGCTACCATTTCCACCCATCTGTGCTAACCCTGCGATGCCACTGCGTCATCATTCCCCTTCCTCTATGTGCAGTAAGAAACTCATGCCCTTGGTGGACAAGGAGTAAGTCTTAAAACCCCCAGTACTCCCAGCTACCTTGGTAAACACTAGTGGCCTAAGGAGTAATGATAGACTTTGCCATGACTGTTTGAGAATATTCGTTTAACTATGCAAAGATGTATTGCATTTGTTTAATTATGTAAAGCTGTTTTGCTGTTTTACCTTGCTAACCTAAGGCACCTGATTGGTCTAATAAAAAGCTGAATGGCCAATAGTGAGGGAGGAGGTATAGGCAGGGAGAGTAGGGGGACGAATTTAGGCTTAGGATAAGAAAGAAAAAGAGGCACCAGTGAGATGTCAGGGGCCAGACAGCCAGACAGAAGAAACAGGAAAGGAGGACATACAGAATGAAAGAAAGGTAAAAAGCCTTAAGGCAAAATATAGACGAATAGAAACAAGTTAAATTAAGTTAAAAGAGCTAGTATGACAAGCCTAAGCAAAGGCTGAGCATCCTTGATTAATAATAAATCACCATGTCTATTCCGGAGCTGGTTGGCAGCCTTAAGAAAACTCCAACTACACATGACCCAAGCCTGTGTTTGAATTCAGTTTCTACCTGGCTGTATTTCTATTTCCTCATATAAAACAAGCAGGATTATAACCCTTTTACAGTGTTGTACCCAAACTCTGAACCCCCACTTCACCAAGAGACCTGATCAGATGCAAAAGCAAAGAGTCTTTAATTTTACGAGTTAACTCAGTTTCCCCGTCCATCCAACACAGTGGGTAAAACAGGCAGGAACCAGAAGGGACCTTGGGCAGCAGTGGGGCAGGGAATATATTGGGGTAGAGCAGGGGAGTGACTGGGGGGTCTGAACCAGTCTCAGGATTGGTGCACTTCCAGCTTGGGTGACCTGTCCTGAGTTGATTGGTCAGCTGTAGCTGCAGGTAGGCTGCTATGCTCAGAGGCCCTCCCAGGGGGATTGCTAGACTCTGCATTCCAGAGCCCACCAGCTAACTCCTGATTGGTTCCTTGCCACATGGAGGGTATCTAGCTTTCTAGTGTGTAGAAGGTCAAGCAAGGCCAGGAGCTCAGCACATGTTACTGAGTCAGGGGCCTATGTCTTACTGGGTCTTTTCTGCAGCCTGTCATGATTGCCCCTTCAACAGAAATTCTGAAAAGATCAAATAAAACAAATATGTGAAATGTGTTTTGTGTGATGCCTGACCTGTAATAAATAATAAATGACAGATTCCTATAGGGATTATGATCATGCAACTGCTCAATGTTTGTCAGGTACCACAAGCTGCCAAGAATTTTATTTATCCCTTTTCATTGTTCGAATGATTGGAAATATGGTATGATAACAGGATCAGAGTCTGTACATTCATGTGTGTTTTAGGTGCATGTGTTTGTATATGGAGGGTGAGATCAACACTGGATGTTGTCTTTAGTTGCTGTCCACCTTATTTTTTCAAGACAGAAGTTTGCAGACTTGGTCACACTGGCTGGCCAGTGAACTCAGGGGTCTACCTGTCTCAGCCTGCACCCCTGCCCCATTGTTTCTTGTAGGTATCTGTGCTGGCTAGTATCATGTCAGTTTGACACAAGCTAAAGTCATCTCACAGGAGGGAACCTCGATTAAGAAAATGTTCCCAATGCCACAAGGATTAATGAAGAGGTGTTGAGGGAAAGGAGGAGAAACGAAGAGAGTTTGTTTTTGTTCTTGTTTGTTTGCTTGTTTTCTTTGTCTTGCTTCATCTTGATTTTTTAAAATTTTCTTTTGAGGGACACTGCAAGGATGAGGGGAGGTTATGAGGGGACCGAGACATGAGCAGAATTAGGGTGCATGATGTGAAATTCCCAAAGAATCAATAAAGAAATTATGTTTTTAAAAAGTGCCTCCATAAGATCCAGGCTATCTGCAAGCCTTTAAGGCATTTAGTTAATTAGTGATTAATGAAGTGCCTGGACCATTGTGGGTGGACCATCCCCAGGCAGGGGGTCCTGGTTCCATATAAAGCAAGCTCTGTAAGCCGCAAGGAGCAAGCCAGTAAGCAGAACCCCACCATGGCCTCTGCATCAGCCCCTGCCCCCAGGTTCCTGCCCTGTTTGAGTTCCTGTCCTGACTTCCTCCTGTGATGGACTGTCACCTCGAAGAGTAAGCTTAAATAAACCCTTTCCTCCCCAAGTTGCCTTGTCCGTGGTGTTCCATCACAGCAATGGAAGCACTAACTAAGACAGTATCAATAAGCTATAGAGAACTTGAATGCAGGATGTTTGATTATTTCACTGTTTAGAAAACTGAACCAATTCAGGAAATAATAGAGGTTACTTTCATTCCAAGAAGATAGTTCCTTCTCTTCCTCATTCCTTCCTCCACCCCTCCTCCCCTTCCTCATTCCCTCCTCCAATCCTCCCTCTCTTCCTCATTCCTTCCTCCACCCCTCCTCCCCTTCCTCATTCCCTCCTCCAATCCTCCCTCTCTTCCTCATTCCTTCCTCCACCCCTCCTCCTCTTCCTCATTCCCTCCTCCTCCACCCCTCTTCCTTGTTCCCTCTTCCTCCACCCTCCTCTCCCTCATTCCCTCCTCCTCCACCCCTCCTCCTCTTTCTCATTCCCTCCTCCCCCTTCTTTGTTGCCGTTTTGAATCCACGGCTTCATACACAGTATGCAACAAGAAACATCCTTATAGCACAGAATACTATGTTCTCATACAAAGAGAGTAAATTCTGAAACTAAAGAGACATCAGGTGAGAGATTTAAGATAAATGGGTCTTTCACATCCCATATCAAGTTCTCTGTCATTAAGTTCCACGGTGGCACGCACTTAGAATCCTAGCAGTTGGGAGGCTTAATCAGAATCATCATGAGTGTGAGGTTGGCCTGGCCTATACAATGAGATCTGTCTCAAATGAAACAGCAACAACAAAAGTATTTTTCATTTAAATATAAGTTAATCTATCTCAGAAATTGGGATAGCTGGTAAGAGAAATGAAACTTTAAAAATTTAGAGAGGAACTAATTGTTATAAAACTTGCATCTTGAGGCTGAGGAAATGGCTCAGCGGGTAAAGTGTTTACCATGAAGCATGAAGACCTGAGTTTCCACATTTAAAGGGTGTGGTGGTACATATGTGTAGTTCAGAGCTAGGAGTATGTGGAGACAGACTGACTAGACAGTAATTCTAGCCAAATTGGTGAATGCCGGGTTTAGTGAGATTCCCTGTCTCAAAAAATAAGATATAGAGTGATGTAGGGGGTGGGCTGGAGAGATGGCTCCGTGGTTAAGAGCACTGGCTGCTCCTCCAGAGGTCCTGAGTTCAAGTCCCAGCAACCACATAGTGGCTCACAACCATCTTTAGTAGGATCTAATGCCCTCTTCTGGCATAAAGGCATACATGCAGATACATAAAATAAGCAAATAAATCTTTAAAAAGAATAGAGTGATGGAGGAAGACAACTGATATTGACATGTCCATATAAAACACACACACACACGTGTGCTCCCATGTGCACGCATACACACACACACACACACATACACACACACGTTTGCCTGCACACACACATTTCTGGCAGTAGAGTATCAGAATGTGTATTATAATAGGAATATTAAATCCTATTAAAGATATCCCTGTTCTGAAGTTAAACAAAAGGCAATGGGTTTATCCTTTGAAGACAGGCACCATATCAGTCTGGAGACAGGCATGCACTGGAATGTTCTGAGGACGTGACTAACAGAACCATTTCCCAAAGGTGGCTGGCTTGTCCTACAGCCAGACCTAAACAGAAACCTGTAGGAGGTGCAAGGTGACACTTAGCTCTAGGAGGAACATCCAACACAAACTGAGTCTGTGTTGACATGGAGTCACTTTGTATGTCTTGATCTAGGATGTGAGATGGAGTGCCCAGCTACAGGGTTCTGCTTTCCCTACTTGTCAACCATGTTTTGCTATTTTTTTTTTTTTTCTTAACAGGGATCACATGCAGTGGTCTAAAGAAGAAGAAGAATTGGCTAGAAAAAAAGTAGAAGAAAACTCAGCCACACAAGTTGCTCCAGAAGAGCAAGGTAAAACCGGGCTCCCCATCATGTCTCTGCGTTTGAGAGCTCTTAGCTTACACCCTAGCCAGTCAACCCATTCGCTCCCTTTGGTGGGATTCCCAGTCCTTCCCTCATAGTGGGACCAAAATTAATGAAATAAATTATGTATTCACCCTATAATTGGTCTTTTGGTAGTCATGTTGCTTTTTCTGGGAGATACGCATATGGGTGGCATTTTAAGCAAGATATGGAAATACAACTTTAAATTTTCCTTCTAGCTATGCCACTTTCAGTGTGTTAGTGTGCATTTCACTTGCTAGAAACTTCTAACAAATTCATAAACTAAGTAAAAAGAAAAACATCATATCAAAATATTGCTGGCCTTTTGGGATAAGGGTGTGTGTGTGTGTGTGTGTGTGAGTGAGTGAGTGTGTGTGCGCGCGCGCGTGTGTGTGCGCGCGCGTATGAGGTCAGAGGTCGATTTCACATGCCTTCCTCTTTCACTTTCCACCCTATTTTTTTGAGACAAGATCTGTCACTGGCCCTGAAGCGCACTATTTCAGGAAGACTGGCCAACGGTGAGCTCTGTCTCTACCCCACACCCACCCCACTCCCAGCTCTGAGATTATGGAAGCTTGCAGCCACACCTGGGATCCTAACTCAGGTTCTCCTGCCTGTACAGCAAACTCTTTCCCCCACTGACCCACCTCCCCAGCCCAGGAGCAGGCTTTTAGCATGGATCATAAGCAGTTATTTTGGGAGACTTTGTATTCTGAGTTTGATTCAGATTAAATTCATAGCTTGTGAAGTTTGGCTTGAGTTACTATTAAACTACTAGAAAATGACAAGTATTGAAAAGGATGCAGATAAACAAGAGCTCTTGTGAACATTCGATGTGAATGGTACAGCCACTATGGAAACCACTGTGAGGCTTCTTAAAAATTAAAAATGGAGGGGCTGGAGAGATGGCTCAGCAGTTAAGAGCGATTGCTGTACTGCTGCTTTTGCAGAGGACCCTGGTTCCATTTCCAGCACCCACATGCCTCTAACTCCAATACCAGGAGACTAACACCCTCTCTTGACCTCCATGGGTACCAGGCATGCGTATGGAGCACTTACATCTACTCAAGAAAACACTCATACAAATAAAATAAAACTTTTTAAAAATAGTACTCCCCTATAATTTGTCAGGTCTCTTTTAGGATATATCCCAAGATTCACAGCATACTATCAAGGAGATATATGTATCACATGTTCATGGCAGCAGTCTCCACGATAGGCAAAAGATAAACACAATCAAAACACAAGTGTTTAAAATAAGCAATACTATTAAAGAATGTCCTGTTCATAAGATAATGAAAAGACAAGTAAATTTAGCCTTAGAGGAAAGAACTGTGCCTTGCTAGTACCTAGGTAGTAATGTAACAATGTCCAGATAATTCTGGTGACATGGATTCAGCAGCCCTTTCCCAGAGGTGGCTGGGGCCCATGGCTATTGTAGATAAATGGGTAATAAACATCCCACATGATGGTGATGCCAAGGGCTGGTTGGTGGGAAGGAGGAGCTGTGTAATGGGGTTAGTTAGAGTTGGCATTTGGGAAAGATTCCAGGTTTGTTTCACTATGTGAACACACCTGACACCGTGGGACTGTGAACTAAAGAATGGCTAAGATGCTCCATTTTATGTGTTTTTAACCACAATTAAAAAAAAAAAAAAATGTCACACTGAGGCCAGGCAGTGGTGGGACACACCTTTAATCCCAGCATTGAGGCAGAGACAGGTGAACCTCGTGAGTTCGAGGCCAGCCTGGTTCTACAAAGTAAGTTCCAGGACAGCTAGAGCCATTACACAGAGGAACCCTGTTTTGAAATCCCCCTCCCCAAAGTTAGTACACTGAATAAAACATTTAGAAGAAAGTGGCCAGTGTCCCTAGTCTCTCTGCCTGACTGCTGTACCCTCTGTATGCCATCTTCTACTTTATTTTTCTTAAATGACTTCCTCTTTGAAGCATCTTCTTCCTTCCCTCCTTTTGTTGTTCGTGTGTAGGTATATTCATGTGTGCATAGGTGCATATGTATGAGCATATGTATGTGGAGACCTGAGATCCACCAGGAGTGCTGTTCCTCAGATGCTACTCACCTTTGCAGGGAGGGGTCAGGCAGGGTTCTCTTTAGCCTAAGCCTCATCAAGGAGGCTGGGCTGGCAGCCAGGGAGCCCCAGTGACCCATCTACCCCGGCTTCCTCAGTGTCGGAATTATAATATGTGTGCTATCATGCCAGGTTTTGTTGTTTTGTTGTTGTTGTTGTTATTCACTGTTAGGTGAATAGGTAGGTTCTGCAGGTCGGCTCAGGTCCTCATGCTTGAGAAGCAATACCTCACTGCTGAGCCAGCTCCCCAGATCTGCCTCTGCCTACCTGGTACTGTTACAAGCATATGCAACTGTGCTCAATCGGCTCATTTAAATGAGTGATGGGGATGAAACTCCTTACAGGGCAAGCACTTTACCAACTGAACTAACTCAGTGTGCAGCACTGGCTGGCCTAAACTCAAAATGAAAACCAAAGCATCCTCCAGTTTGTGGTGACCCTCCTGCCTCTGCCTCCCTTCCAAGTGCATGGATTCCTTTCCTTTTCCCTCCCTCCCTCCCTCCCTCCCTTTCTCTCTCTCTCTCTCTCTCTCTCTCTCTCTCTCTCTCTCTCTCTCTCTCTCTCTCTCTCTTACTCAAGTAATAGTTCTTTAGAGCCAAGCATGATGGTGCACATTTGTAATCCCAGCACTTAACAGACTAAGGTGAGAGGGTTAGTTACTATGAATAAGAGGCAAGCCTGGGCTACATAGTGAATTTAGAGCTAGCTTGAGCTACCTGGTAAGATCCCATCTCAAAAGTCAAAAATAAATAATGTATTGAAGTACCAACTATATAGAAACTTACATATTCACGAAAGAGTTCTCATGTTTGGCAGATTTTCCCGTCAATGTAAACAGCACTGACATAGAGAGACAGGCCGCCAGCGCATAGCAGCTTCCTTGTACTCCTAACCAGTGTTATCACTCCTCCATCCCCCCCACACCTCTCAAATAGCAGCTTCCCAACATCTCCCCCCTCCAGCCCCCCTTCCCACAAGCTTCTAGCCCATGACTTTGTTTGGGTGCTACTTATTTCACTTTCGTGATCACCCCTGTGGCAATATCCATATTGTAGAGCATGTTTTGGCATCAGCAGGCTGTGGTGTGTGTGTGCACATGCGCGTTTTCACAGGTATATGTAGGGCTGTAGTTGACATGTGTGTCTTCAGTAGCTCTCCATTTTATTTATAGAAGCAAGATCTCTTGCTGAACTTGGAACTTGCAGATTCTGGCTAGTCTAGCTAGTTAAACGTGCCCCAGGGAGCTCCACTCTCTGCCTTTCTGGTGTGGGGATTACAACCAGCTGCCACACCTTTCATGTGATTTCTAAGGATCTGAACTCTGGTCTGAGGAGTTGAACACTTGCATAGGCACTTTATCCACTGAACCATCTCCCTAGCCTACAGCATGCTTTTTTTATAATAAAGTTTTATTAGAACACAGGCATTCTCATTTGTTGACATACTGTCTGTGGTTGCTTTTGAGATGTTTGGTTCGAAAGAGACTGTAAATGCCACATAAAGACTAAATACCTATCTGGTGCTTTATAGAAAGTCTCCTCCAAAGCTGGAATTCCAGTCTTAGGTTGACTAGCTATCCAGAAACTCCCCAGGGAAAAAAATGTTTGCACTCTTCCTTGTAATGCACACAGTAAAAACCAAGAGAAACACTTGAAATGCTGTCAGTCTGCGATTGCTGGAATCTGAAGCAAAGGTATCTGGGGAAACTAAGATAATGAGACAGCCTCAGCCTTTAGCTAGTAAAAGAGCCAGTGCCAGCCTGCCTTGCTCTCTGGAGTCATTGGTGACCTATTGTATCCTTTGGCACAGTTCGTTATTCCTTAGTCGCAGACCTTCACCCTGAGCTTCAGGGTATCCCAGGGTGGCCAGGAAAGATGAACCTCTGGCCCCAGTGGAATTATTCTATTTTTATGAGCACTAACTGAGCAGTCTCAGAGTGATATACTACCAAGGAGTGTTGGGGTTGGACTTATACCAGGGCTGGTGTTGCCTTAAGTCAGTCAGTGTCACATTCCTTCACAGGAACTCTGTCACTGTTGCTGAGGAAGCAGAGCTGCACTTCTTTGCCAGAAGCTGCGCAGACATATTTTCTACCTTACTCAAGCTTCTGTTGGTAGCCAACCTGGATGTGGCAGAGATGCCAGCCCGAACTAAGTTCAACATTATCAGTTGTTTTAATTCATTTCCAGGAAATTAAAACTTATCCACAGTATTATTTGCACATTGTCCTATAATATGAGAAACCAGGGATTTTCTTTTCTTAACTTCCTTTTGAATATTCTGTTCAGAACTTAAATAGAGCAGGACTGATGATGTTAAAGTTCGCTGTGCGTGGCCGCCTACTTTGTCCTATTTGTGTTAACAATGAACTTGAGTGAAGCTAATGAGGTTATTTTAGCGACTCGGAATCCACAGTAAAGGAAGAAGGCAGTTCCTACAGAACCATAGTGTGACCAAAATAGAAAGGTGATGGCTGGCTTCTGTAGAAGAGGGAAGGCGGGCACGAAGGCCTGCAGTACCGCTTTGAGGCATTTGATTTGCTCTTACTATGACAGTCTTTTCTGAGTATTTTTCTGACTACTGTGAAGATATAGAACTAAAGAGTCCATTTCAAAATAAATCAAACAAGTAGAGATTTTTTTTCCGGGTCTCCTCTGGGTCCCTCTGCTTGGTGCTCTGGGCTCCACAGTGTCGGGGCCACACTGCAGGAAAAGATACTATGGGGGCTTCTATATTTAAAGCAAGATGAAGCTAGGATTGCCAGGAGGGTAGCTAAGAAGGAAAACTGTGTTCTGAGGAACCACAGTGAGTAGCAGGATATTTCAGTGACAGCCCACCCAGGGGAATCTCTGTGAGATCGTAGACCCCGTAGAAGTC